TATAAATTATATACCTACCTACTGTATAAACATCTACCTGATCAATCAGTACCTATTAATCTATCATATCTGGATATAATTAAACTAGTTTATTATTATGTTTCAATAAATGTTGTGCGTTCTGTAAAATATTATACATTTATTTATATTTAGGCGTTCACTATGCCAATGATACATGGCATCAGCGCCAAGTGGGCTCCACCGAATGAACGTGGTCGTCTCGTTGGATTTGTATTGGGAGGTAAATCATTTTTTTAAACTCTCGCACAAGGCACTCTTCAGAAGTAAGATCAATTTGAAACCTATTCTTTGACCGCTTTAACCATCCTAAATTAATCTGACCCATATTAACTGTAGCTTTAAGTACTTATACTTATAATCGTATAAAGTCGTGACTATAAACTATAATATGACTRAAAATTTCATAATATTATCTATACTTATTTTTCAACAAACTTAAAGGCAATACATTTTGATATAGCAAGTTTAATTATGATATACCAGTCACATTATATATACATGCATTCAAATTTAAAAAATATTTATTTGTATGGATTTATTTGCAAGCATATAGCTTACAGCTTATTACTAACATAATATAATATGGTACTACCTAACCTACATGGGATTTAAATTACTAAATTTGAAACTCATTGTTTAAATTATCAAATTATTAAAAAAAAATATTTTAACATTATTTTATAAAAATATAACTGATATGAAATCTATGGCGACTATATCTTAGACTATGGAATCTAARGACATTGAACATACATAAAATAATGTTAAGAAAATAAGTTTAATTCCAATGAACTTTGTACTAAATTCATAATTAATCCTTTTGTTACTATTTAAGTATTTATCTGTTTATGCACATAATGTATACTGTATTAATAATTTGATGCATATATAACGGTTATAAATTATTATCAACACATTTAAACTAAAACTCTACCAMAGCTATCATGAGTTTAGTATCTCGGAGAAATGTAATCCTATTAACCTCGAGGCATACATTTCTGTTCTGTTGTTCTACATAAAATCATAACTTCTTGTAGAATACCTACTTATCTTAAGGTTTTTATCTATTGACACTAAGTACCAAGGATTAATAAAAATGTCYTAACATTTTATGTAACATACTTTGGCGTACACAAGAGTGATGACTGAATGAATATGAAGGGGGATATCGTACATATTATATTATTTTTATTATTGTCGTTATACCGCGTGTGTGTTGTAGAACGTCATGAATAGTTTCGCGGTAAAAACAGCTTAAAATTAGTCTAAACTGCTGGCTATAAGAACCATTAATGAGGAACCTTCTTGTACTTAACTTTAAAGATTTTTTGCTTATCAACAAATATTTTACTATACGTAAAAAATTTAAATTTATAAAAATTATATTATAATGRCTAAAAAGTTATAAATACTTAATGACAATTTCGTTTCTACTGTCTTTCATTTTTGAATTTCGATCAAAAAACAATATCGATTTTGTCAATTACCCGTGGTTTTACGAATTTGTTTTTTTGCTTTTTCTAATTATTTTAAACCAGAAGTTTTCACTTTTGTTTCCCTCAAAAGTCCAACTAGATCTGACATGCTACTAAAAGCTAAAAACCCGGATAGGTATATATATCTAAGAAATGTAGTACCTCCACTGGGAGGCTTCTACGCTCTATTATATCTATATCTATTATATTTTTATTTTTATTTTTTGAAACAGATTGAATAGGCAAAGCATTRTAAAAACAAATGAAGATATCTAAGTACTTTTACTTCCTAAAAAGTCAAATTTCAATGATTGACGAACACGAGATGATGATTATTTAAAAAGTACACTTCAATATAAAACCAATATTTCCTGAGATATTTCATGTGCCTAAAAATAAGTATGAAATACAACATGTTTAAGTGTGTATAATATCAGTACTAATGAACAAATATATTTCAGTCTATAGACAACTTAAATATGCATAAATAATACGTCGTGTTTGTGATTTATGACCGTAGATTATATATGTATATATCATAGTAGATAGGTGATATATTGTGGCTAGCCTAAACTAGTTTGAAGCAAACAATGCGTAGTAATTTACTATTTGATTGTGCATTCTAAAATAAAATAAAATAATTTATATTATAATATTATTGATTACATAATTATATAATATAGATTGTATAATATAAACAATTATTATCACATAATATGATAATTGTTCATACCATTACAGATTGTATATATTCCAACATATGTAGCTAAAAAAAATATATTTTTATGAATTGACAACTTTCGTGTACGCCGAACGCTATTCCGACGTACATACAATTAAGAAATATAATAATGCTTGAAAGCTTTTTGTTCTGCAGTGATCACGTCAAACGATTCTACCCACTCCTATCATTATATGTTATCGCTTACCTCCTTTTCTTGTTATATCTGCTGAAATTTATTAACTAATTTTGTTACACATTACACAAATGCTTATTTAACCTTTTCTTTTTTTTTTATCTATGGTATCGAGGACCTCTAAGGAGACCTTAGTTCATATATGTCTATTGTCTATAAAAAATGCTGATTTAATTATTTGGTAAAATATATATTTGCGGTTATTTCTTTTTGAATAATTTCAAAAAACAAAAACCTAATCGATTTTGTTGAATCTGGTGTTTATAAATGTTCTTAGCTATTTTTCGTTAGTTTTTCATGATTATTATGAAAAGTACTGGGGAAATATCTTAAATTTAACAAAATAAATTAAATAAAAATAAAAAATGAACAACTTTTCATAAAGACATTAATTTCACAAAGTTGCTTCGACGTAGTGTAGGTAATAGGTTACACTATTATGATAGATTTAGAACAACAATAAACAAAAATTAATAAACTTTTAAAATATTTATTAAAACTACTAAAAATTCTAACAAATAGTATTAATTATAAAAAAAATAAATGGTTAAAATACTTTTTAAACTTATGTAAAGTATCTAGCATAGTAGTATTAGTAGTACTAGCTAGTACACATTTACCTAAGTGTATTTTAAAATAAATACATTCGAGCTCATTTAAAATCTTATATGGTAATT